TGTTCAAGATGTTTGTTTAAATAGTTAAAATTTGAATAAATATATTTTGGGGGAAAAAAAGAGTTTTCAGATACTGCTGTAAAAAAATTTAATAAAATTAAAAAAAATAAAATAAAAATAAAAACACAATTAGTCTAAATCAAACATCAATAACTGTTAACATCCTTTTTGTTTATGGAGTGAATTTGGTTCAATTAATGTTGAAAGAAAATTAGATGTCTTGCAAATTGAAATTTGAAAAAACTGATTTTATAAATTAAAAATTTGAAAGAAAAAAGCAATCCAGTAACTTTTTTATATTAATCTTTTTAAATTTTACTTAAAAAATAGTTTATGAATTTTATATTTTCAAATAGCATTTTTCTAAATTTTAATAAAAAATGTTTTTTTATGTGCTTTTAAAGTTTGGGTTTTCCAGATAGAGTTCTTTCATTCTTTTTAAATATATATTTTTTTACAGATCTCTTCCTTCACTTCTGGGGTGGGCTTTCCTCTTGCCACAGCCACAGTAATGTGCTCATCAAGAGCCATCAATTGGTTTAGTGGAAAGAATGCAGTGTGTCAAAATCAATCTAATAAACAGAAATTTGCAACAAGGAAAATTTACATTTTGTCGCAAATAGAGAAAAATAAAAAATAAAATGTAGAAAATGTTCTGAGAAAATGACAAATAAAAATGTGTTTTTTTATTTTCATTTATAAAACCGTATTCTTTGCTTGCAACAAAGAAGGAACAACATTCAATCAGAATTCTTTAAAATCATCTTTTAAAGTATGTAGAGTATTTTGGTCAGATGTCAAAGGCTACAGCTTTGAACATGACAGATATGAGGCAGTAAAAATGTTCCTACTGCAGTTTGAAGATAGCGCTGAGCTCAGGACGAGGACACAGGCTGTCCAAGAAGTTCTTGTAAACATCAAGAGTGAAGTCCTCCAGTTTGATGCTTTCACCCTGATAAAGAAACAGGAGAGGAGGTGAAATTGCATTTACACAGGTGACACAGCGAGAGTCTGATTTTTATCTGTGGGTGTTTTCTCTTTTGTCTATTCTGTATTTGTATTCATTTACTTTCTTTATTATCGTCATTAATGTATCTGTTCTTAGTTTGTGTTGAGTTTTTTATTCTATATTACTCTAAACTATTTTACAGTTTGTGGTATTTTTTGGTGTAGTAAGTCCTTTTTATGTTTTGATGTGGCTCCCTCTGTTTTTCTCCCTCTCTGTTATCAATCTTACCGCAGTTTTCCCTTATCTGTTTTTTTTCTCCAACCACATTCATACCCTGTGGTTCTCATGCCGCTCCACCAGACTTTCAGCTCTTAAAAACAATCTGTTTGTCAACCTCTTGTCATATTTCCCCTGTCCTCCCTATGTCTATTCATTATCGGTAGGCAGTTGCCTAGTATTGTCTAATACTCCTTATTCCTTATTTGTACACATTATTTATGTTTTGATAAAAATCTTTTACAAAAACTAAAATGCCAAATGTGTCTCAGCCCCCAACAGCCAGCAGCAAAATATTTCAAAACAAACGCTACAAAGAGCAGTGTTGCCAACTTAGCGCTTTTGTCGCTATATTTAGCAACTTTTCAGACCCCTCTAGTACTTTTATTTAAAAAAAGCACCTAGAGCCAAATCTAGCAACTTTTTTCTGCTACTGGAGACTTTGGAGACAACATCTAAAAGCAGCG